CGACCAGCTCCCGACATCCTAAACCGTTTGAAGCGCGACGTCCGTTCGCACATGCGCCCCCACCTTATTGCTCGTGGTGCGGGCCTCGGGGTGCCCCCGGCGCTTGCCCGCTCGGAAATCAACCCCGACGTTTGCAGCTGAGTGCCCCCGCTGGCCCCCGCGAGTCTTGCCCGTGGCCTTCTCGGCAACGTCCAGGGCCCCGTCGGGGGGGGGCGCCGCGCCGATCTCGCGTTCCGCAAGGGGGGGCCCTAGCTCAGCTGCGACCCCATGCTCGGCGTCGCAAAGTCATTGGGCAAGGTGGGCGGCAATGGCTAGCGCGTCCGCCCCCCTCCCGGGGCCGAATGTATCTCCGAAGTTGGCTTGAGAGCGAGCTCGGCTTAAAAAGTGGCAGGCGCGGGCCCTGCCTCTACTCCCCTTTCGGGGTAGATAGCCGGCGTCGGCGCGCCGTCGTAGAGAAGGTGCCGAAGCCACTCATAACTGTGAATGCTGACGACGAGGCCGGCAATAAGGCAGTTGGCCCGGGGCGCGCTCTGAAGCAATGGTGAGCGCGGCGCGTGATCATAGAACTGTAGACGGTTCTACATCACAGCAACGCAATGCAACTTGCGATTGCTGGCCCCTTTCCGCCAGCGCAGCCTGTCCCCGCGACGCGCCCGTCGGACTACGGCGCCGGGCGCGCGAATATTCAGGCCCCACCCCCTCCTAGCCCCCCCGTCTGCGCAGGCCCTGTCTTGCCGACTTGCCGCGCGGGCGGAGAGCCGGGGGGCGGCGGCCCGTGCGTCGCCGGCCCCCCGAGGCCCTGCGGGCGCCAAGAACAACCGGGCGCTGGAGCACTGCTGGGGCATAGCCGGTCAATTCGACTCAATGAAAAATCTTAAACAAAAGAAGGAGGGCTCTGGTCGAAAGCAAGCTGCAGCGCCAAGGGTGCCACCCATCTGGCGCGCACGCGCCCCCGCCAAATAGTTCGCCGATCGCTCGGGGCACATCGGGCGACGCCGCTGCTCCGACGGGGGCAGGGGGCGGCTGGGTCTCAGGACGGTGAGGGCGGGGCTCGGCCTTCCAGGCCCCGGTCCACTCCAGCTTTTCTCGCGGCGCCCCGCCGGCGAAAGAGGCGCGCCCATGCGCTCCCCCGGGGGGGCATCGCCCGAGACAGAAGCCAGCGCGGCTCTACCTCGTCGGAGGGCGCGGGATTCGCGGGTCCATTCTCCATTGCTTCGGCGCGCCAGTCGTTCCATTCCCCCCCGCGGATCTGGGGCGCTGAGAAGAGGTGCATATTGTGCGCAGACTGGGCAATGGCGATGATCCCACCTAAAACCGGCCGAATGCGAATGGCAAGTTTTTGCGCCGGTGCCCCCGCGAGACAAGGAATGGGGCGCCGCAGACTGCCTCCTTTGGCCCAAACCTGCCGAGACGGGCCTCCTCGGACCAAAATCCATTCGGGGCGGACCGACATGTTTGCGAGGTCGGCGCGGCTTCCCACGTTGAAACCTGTGCTCTTGACGGGCCCCACTTGGGCCACTTGCTGCGCGGCCCAAACCATGGCACTCCGGGGTCAACCTTTCTGCGCGAAGCGCCTCCTCGAGCGAGGTCGCTCCCCACCTGAAGCCCGCCCCGTCCCTGCGAACCCAATCCGTCGCGACTGGCGCTGGTAGATACGGCTTGCGAGGTTGGCGGCTTCGTCCACCGTGCCCCCCTGCAGCGCGCGCTTATCTCTTGTTCCGCCATTGGGGCCTAGATCAACGCGTCGAGGTGGCCGCGACAAAAGGCCATCAACACGTCGAGGGGGCGTGCTCTGATTCTTAGATGGAACCTCCACATGCTGATCACCGACTGCTCCTGGCCGAAGCGAGACTGGGCGGCGCGGGGGCACTGGGGTGCCCACCATAACCCCAACCTCCGCTTTCTGATCAAACTTATTGTCGACAATGGGGGGCTCCATGGTTCAGGAATGCTCGCCCAGGCAATGAGACGGGTTCACTTCGCCCGCGCGCGCGGGCCCTCGCAGCTCGAGGGCAAGTGGCGCAGCGTGCAGCCTCTCAAGGGCGCCGTTGAAGTCGCCTCCAAGAACGCGCGGGACTTGCTCACCAGGAATATCCAACCCATCTTCTCCAAGATCTGAACGTTGCGCGGGGTAAAGCCCCCCGCCCAACATGCAGGTGGCATATCATGATCAGCAAGTGCCATAGGTCCTTGAGCCCAGGGAACGCCCTGGCCAATCTTCCCGGGTGCAGGGTGCCTTCGCCCGGGGCCCCAGCGCCCAGGTAGCGCGCGCAAATAATCGCCATCCCTGCTGACGCTCGACCCCTGTCTGCGACGGAACAGGGCCTCCGAAGACATGCCAGCCAGCTAGGCGGAAGGGGGTTCACGACACTCTCGTACCGATTCGGTCCCAGGCGGCGTTCTTGAACCGTTAAAATATCTGCACGGCCGAGGGGGCCCAGGAAGGTATATATCGCGGTCAAACTCGAGCCATTGATCGTGATCGTGCTGATGCCATCTCTGATTCGCCTAGGTCCAGCCCCAAATCCTGGCAAACCAAGCTGCTGCGACATGAGATGCGCGATGGACGGCCGAGGAGGTCGCCCTCGCCCTTGGGCCATCCAAAGCCATGCGAGGCAGCAGTGAACTCGCCCGTCCCCCCAGCGATTCGGCTCGGCGGCGCCCCGCGCCGCCGGCCCTCGGGGGGGGGGGGGGGGCTCGAGCAAACCAGTGGCGGGCTTCGTCCTCCAAGCCGTCTCCGCTTTCTCAGGGCCAGGGTAGGCTGCCAAACCTGTCGCGGCAATCGAAATAGATGGGCTACCCTCGCTTCGTCTTCTCGAACGGGTCGGTGGCCTGCAGCGCCGTTGACGCACCAACCTTCTCAGCGCTTGAAACAATTTTTGACCGAAGTTCGCTCGTGTCACCTTCCGGCTGCGAAGCAAAGGGAGAGAAAGACTGGCTGTCGTTGGCGTCGGCGTGTTACGGGTCCACACCCTGTCCACATCCTCCACGTCGCTTCTTTTTCCGACGGGACTCATCACGCTGGTTGCGTAAGTCTTCGGCTTGAGCTCTGAGATGTCCAAACGTCGCCGCCGTGGCCGCGCGCGGCGCCTCCTCGAGCTTCTTGGCGCGGCTGGCGGCCTCGCCCTTGTCATCCATGGTGAGGTCCACGAACTCATGGGGTCGAGGCTGAGTTCGACTTGGCCATCCAGGATAGCTGCCAGGCTGACTTTGTTGGCTTCGGGGGGCGATGCTTGCGAGCCAATGAGACGATCATGCGCCTCCTGGACAGCATTGCGATATTCCTCCTCCTGCTGGGAAACCTGCCGAAGCACCTCCTTGATTTGCTGAGCCTGCTGCTCCAACAAAGTTTGTGTCTTGCCAGATTGCTCAGCCATTTTGGCCAGCCTCCCCCCCAACTGTTTGAGCATGCGATTGGCTTCGTTCGCTCTCTGCTGGGCTGGGCGCTCGGGTGCTGAACTGTCTGGAGCCAACTTTGATCGGTAAACGCATGCTGTTTTCTGCTCGCCAAGCTCTTCAATCAGGGCCACCAGCTGGGCCAGCTTAGCGTTCGGCGCCGTTGGCTTCCCTGTGCGGAATGGGGATGGTGAGCTTTGGTTGCCGAAGGTCGCGAATGGAGCAGAACGACTGGAAGGCTGTGGCCACAACGTGGACTTAGTGGTAGCGGGCTCGACAGATTTCCAATGTTGCCCACAATGCTTGCACCACGTCCATGACGATTTGTTTCTGGCGCATCCAAACGAACCACAGCGCCAAGCCGCTTCACACACCCCGAGGCGGGCACCGCGGCCGTCCCAGAGCGCTCTGGAGCACTCTGAGAAGCGCTCCGTGGAAATCTGAAGCGGATTGCTCTCGGAGACCTACTGACCCAGGTCAATCCAGACCCAAATCTGTCAGGCTTTGCGGGATCCTGCAAGATCCAGCAAAATCCTGCAAGATCCTGCGCCCAAGCCCGGGTCAATGCGACCCTGGCCCTGCAGGATCCTGCAAACTGACCTCCGTTTGCATTGGCCCCCGCCCCTTGAGCCCCGATGCTCCTCGTCCTAGCCCCGCCTGGCCCATCCCCCCATTTCTCTTTTCTCCGCACGCTGTATAGCACAGGCGCTCCCAAATGCTCCCTCCATCCTGCGGCCATCGCTCGGACCCCCATTATCCCCATGCAATGTTTGACTGTGTGCATTTTTTCCCAGACGATCAAGGATGCTCGTCGGTGGTCCTCGTCGAGAAAAATACAAACGCCCGAGCGATACGTCCTCCGCCCCTTTTTTCAAGGAAAAAACACCCGAGAAGGGCGCGCCGAATTGGGGGGCGGCGCTGAGAGCGGCGCCGGCCACGGCTCGACAGTGTTGACGACCGCGACGACAACGCCGACGCCGACGCAGACGCCGACGTAGGCCGACGACGCCACCGCCGACGTTGCCGCCGACGCCGCCGACGACGACGACGACGGTCACCACAACGACGACGGCGTCCACGACGACGGCGACGGGCGGCATCAACGGTGTTGCCGAAGCTGCCCCTGACCCGAGGTCCCCAGGCAGGATTCCCCGAGGAGGCCTAGATGGACTTCGGAGCATCGCTCTCGAAACACAGGGGGGCCCCAGGGGCTCCAAAATGGTGCGAGAAGCCGGGGACACCTTGGACCAAGACCGCTTCTTTTGTTAAATGAGCGCGGCAAGGGCGGCGCCAGAAGCGCCGCAATGGGGGTCCCGGGCGCCGATCCACGAAATCTGCGCGAACCGTCGAAAATGCAAATGTTATGCAATTGTTTCTTCGAGAGGTTTTTGTCGCCTGATGTGCGATATAGCGGTGGATCTTGCGGGTTTGATCGTGGTTGTTTGCTGACATGCTTTTATCGCGGATCGCGCGGTATATCGCACGAACCGCGAATGTATGCGATTATGTCTTCGAGACGACCACCGCAGCGACGGCGACGGACACCACGACGATGACGACGACGACGACGGCGGCGGCGGCGCCGGCGCCGCCCTGCGGTGGGCCTGGCTGCTCTCCTGCAGCCGCTGCATCCGCTCATCCGCCTCGGAGCCGACGCGCTGGGCCATCTGCTCCAGCGCCTAGCTACATGCGCGTTCTCTCCCTCACCCTTCGCCCGTCCACCCTCCCCGCCTCCCTCCGTGGCCATCCCTGCTGTCCCGCCCTCGCCCTGTCCTCAGCCCGTCTTCCCTCCCTCCCCGCCCTCCCTCTGTCCCTCCCTTCTCGCTCCTCATCCTTACTCCTCCTCCTCCCTCCTCCTCCTCCTCCTCCTCCTCCTCCTCCTCCTCCTCCTCCTCCTCTTCCTCCTCCTCCTCCTCCTCCTGGCCATTTCCAAGTCTCTGGAATGAGCCAGATCGTCAGGCCGTGCATTAGGGAGTGGCGCAGCAGTCCAGAGTGGAGTGCAGAGCCTTTTCATCCGTTCACGCACACGGCAAGCCGCGCCCAGGGGTGCAGGCTTGCGAACTTCGAGATCCATTCCTGACTGCGCTCTCGTGTGGCAACAAAGCTCCGCGGCCCGTGCACCACCAGCAGCGCAGCTACCCTCAGCCGAGGCCGCCAGGTGGGCCGCCAAGGCCCCCCCCCCCCCCGGGAGCCGCGGGTCCTCAAGCAGACGCGGCCGTCTCGGCAAGGAGCGCCAGCGGCCCCACAGAAGCTCACCTCTGGTCAGCTCTTGGCCATGCTCGGGAAGCGTTTGCAAGGAGAGAGCCAGGGGCAACAATGCAATCCAGGGGGAACACGCGGGAGTCATACCTTGCGCAGGCTTAGGCGCCATATCGATGCGGAGCCAGCCCAAACAACACTCGATTGAACCCCCTCTCGCTGGATCAAGCTGAACGTGGATGGGCTCCCCCCCCCTTCTTCTGAGGGGCAACGTTAAGGGGGGACTGGCTCAGGGGGAGAATCATCGACCCGGAATCGGCGATACATCGCCGATAGATTGGATTGGCAAGGTGGGCTATCGAGCCACCATCAGCGATCAATGGGCGATTGGGGGTCTATGCATCCCCCCCTGAGCCGATCTCCCCGTTAATTTGCCCATGATCTGGTGTGCGCCACCTCCCTGCGACGCAAGCACCGCAACCGGGAACAAAAACACAGCACACATTTACACTGGATGGCTTCCGAGAGGACTCACGGAGCACATTCTGGAGGGTGGGGAAATTCAATATGTTGTCTCCCCTCGCGAGCGCGCGTTCTCGAAAACAACACACCTGACTAAAGCGCGGCACTGTACTGCGTGCGCTTTCAGCGCTGTCGCTCTTTCGGCAAATCTCTTGTATGATTGAATCATAATCGGCAAACTGGGCCGCCGCGAGGGCGGCGGCCCTGCACCCCTCCCCCTGCGCGCTCGCGGGCGCACGTTCTCGAAACTGCGCGAACGAAACTCAACAGTGGCGCTGTACCTAGACAAGCGCGCTCCACTACTCGCAAACAAACGACGCGCAAATCTGGATCCGCCGCGGGGGCTTGCGGATCCCAGGCATCAAGACAATCAGTGCTCGTTTGTTTTGAATACGTTTGCAAGTAGGAACATTGCGAGTAGTGGAGCGCGCTCGGTGGGTACCGCACGCATGATCAACATCATCCGTTTGGACATCTAGTGTGCTGACCTTTCTCCGCGCACCGTTCGGCTGAACAATGGTTGCACTACGCGCAGCGCCCTGCCATTAGCAACACTCTGCCCTGTAGGAAACCGCGCCCCCTCGTCATCCCGTTGTTATGGTATGATGGTATGCGATATTATGTGATGGCGTGCTATAATATATGATGCCGCGCTCTGGCATGGTATGCGTTGTCATCGTATGTAATGCCATGCATGTGTTTTGATGTTGTGCTACGGTGTGATGTAATATGGCATTACCTGGTATGGTGTGAAATGGTCTGGTATGATCCATTATGCCATAGCTTACTCTGTCATGTTATGTGTGTTGCACTCTGGTGTAGCGTGGTATGTTGCACCCTGTCATGTTATGAATTGTCATATGTGCTGAGATGCTGTGTGATCTTGTGGCGTGAGTTGCCATAGCATGTTACGATATGATACGGTAAGTCGTATGGTGGTATGTTATGTTGTGATATGGCATGGTATGGTGTGGTATGGTATGCGCTGGTATGGTATAGGCTCCGATGCATTATCACATTAACGTTATGAGGTGTCTTGACATGATACGGTATGGTATGCCAAGTGGGACTGCGATGTGTTGTCTTGGTATGTGCAGGTATGCGGTGCTGCCTTATGGTATGATTGCGTTGCAATGGTATGGGCAGACAATTGCTATGATGCTATGCCATGGTATGCACTGCTGTGTCATGATGTGTTACGTTACGATATGGCATGTCATGATACGGTATGGTATGTTCGGATATGTGCTGTGAAATAGATTAGTGGTATACTATGGTCCGTCATAGCTAGTAGCTTTGTGCTATACCATGTGCTGCTATTTTAGAATACCGCTCTGTCATGTTATGTTGTGTCGGCGCGAGGCAGGACCTGGGGATCTGGCGGCCGCGGCATGCTGAATGGCGCGAAGCGGGAAACTCGGAACACTCGGGGGACCTGGGGATCTGGCGGCCGCGGTATGCAGAGTGGCGCGAGGCGGGACACTCGGGGACTGTCGGGGGACCTGGGGATCTGGCGGTCGCGGTATGCAGGGTGGACGGGTCGGAAGGTCTGTTCTTCAAATCTAACGACCACAGCCTGTCGGGTGATACAAAAACGCTCACCAGCTCCACCCTCCTTCACCCCCTCCTCGGACGACTTGTGCGGAGGCTCCACCTCCCCCACCAGCTGCCGAAGCCTTCCGCGCTGTGTTGGAAGGGTCAAAACCTTTGTCCAAATCACCGTCGTCGTTGTAGTCAGAAACGACGCCGTCTGGGCATTCGTCGGAGTCGTCGACTGAACATCGACAGAGCTGTCTTCGGCTTTTCGCCTGCGTCGGAACCCTTTATCATCGAAGGTTTGTTCTAGAGGTACTTTGATACAGTGGAGATTGCTGGGGGGTGAGACCGCAGAAAATCGGACAGCCTGCCCCCCATATAGAGAGATCGAACTCGATGAGGCTTGCGTGCTGCGAGACGCACGGGAGAGCGAGGCAAGGATGTAATGGCACTGGCAATGGTCGGAAGAAAAGAGGGAGGAGGCAGGATAACGGAGGACGGAAGAGGGAGGAGGTCGGAGAGAGGAAAAGAGGGCGGAGATTGCCGTTGAGAGTGAGGCTGTGGCTGGGAGGAGAACGGGAGCGGGAGAACGGAGGAGGGAGGAGGCGGCAGGGACGGAGGTGTACACGAGCGGGGTGTGAGAGAAGCTTCCCTCATCTCTCCTCCCTCCTCCTTCCTTCGGAGACGCACTTACCCGGGTTCATGCAAACCCAGGTTAGTCAGGCTCTGCAAGATCCAGCAGGATCATGCACGGTCCTGCACGCAAGCCCGGGTCAATGCACCCCTGGCTCTGCAAGATCCTGCAAGATCTGGTGCCCTGGCTGACCCCTGTTTGCATTGACCCCGTCTCAAGGCTCCCGATTTCTCCTCCCTCATCCCTTCTCCGGGATCCCTCATCCGTCGTTCCGTTTGGCCCTCGGGGGGGCTTCGGGGCCGCAACTGGCTCCGTCGCGACGTCCTGGCGGAACGCAGCCCAGGACAAGTCCGCGGATCGAACTGATCGTCGCCGTCCTCGCCTCCTGATTATGTTATGCCGACACCTTATTCTGTTATGTCGTCCGTTTCCCCCTTCTTCTCCTGCTCCTCCTGCTCCTCCTCCTCCTCCTCCTCCTCCTCCTCTCTGACGTCCATTTGCCTCCAGAAGAGCTCGGGGCCAGCATGAGAAAGACGAGGGATCTCTGGGGGAGGATGCGGGTGGGGGGGGGTCAAGAAAGAATGGAGGATTAGGGGGCTAGATAATAGGATGGAGCATTCGCCCAGGACGGACAAGGGAACCGAACGGATGACGTGGAACACGCTCGCAATGCAACGCCGAACTCTAGTTTCGTTCGAGCGTGTTCAACAATGTGCTTGCGCAGGGGCGACATCCGCAACGATGTCCTTGAGAGTTCGATGATCTACCTCCGAAAAGAATTCCGAGAGCCATATCGTCCTTCTATGCAGCGTAAGTGATATGCTTATGTTCCAGATGCGGAGCCTGCATTGCTAGGTAAGGCGCGCAGGTTGGTATGGACGCAAGGTGCGCCCTGCAGGTGTTCAGAAACTGCTGCATGCATGTGAATTACATTGAATGCGCATGAGATGCCAGGCCCATGCACGTCTATGGCAACGTATACCCATGAGGAACGCGAGTTCTACAGTTGCGTTTGAGAAACGGCGTCCCACTAGGAGCACAGATGAAGACTAAGAGCAACTAAGTATTAAAAGCATGTATGGTTGCATTCCTGGGAATCCATGGTTATTTCATTGTTAGCGGAGTATGCGTCGCTGGTAAGTGGCGCACACCAGCCCATGATCGTCCCTCTCCTCCTGGGGTGCGTTCTGATCAGAATTCCGAAAAGGGAATCCAGCGTTGGTGACGAGGGCGCTCCCGAAGGCCTCGAAGGCCTCGAACGCCAAAGGCCTGGCTAAAGGATCTGCGATCCTCGTTCTCCACTCCCTGCTGCTGCTGCTGCTGCTCCTCCTCCTCCTGCTGCTCCATCCGTTTCCTCCAGCGCCTCGCTGGCTCGAGCCTCCTCCTCGCTCAGCATCTGCGCCTGGCGCTCCAGCTGGGCCTGGGCAGCGGATCCAGGGCGAGGCGAAGGGAACAGGAGTGGGGGTAGGGGGGTCCGAGCGAGGAGGAGAGAGAAGAGGAGAGGAGGAGACGCGGATCAAAGAGCGATGGGAGAGAGGGAGGGGGAAGCAGGGAACGCGGAGCGAGGAGGGAGGGAATGGGGAGGGAGAGAAGGAGGGAGGGAGGGAGGGGATGGAGGAGGGGGAGAAGGGGGAAATAGAGAGGTTGGGCCGCAAGTGGAGACAAGAGTAATTAGGGGGAGGGGGGGGGCGAGGAACGAACGAGCGACGATGCGCTAAACATCCCATCAACCACAACCACAAACAAGAGAAGAGAAACAACAACTGGGCAACAGACGCCTGCAGGCCCTCCTCCACTTGCTCCGCCCGCGCGCGCTCGGACTCGACCGCGCCCTGCAGCGCCGCGCGCGCTGCGGCGAGCTCCTCCTCTCGGGTAGAGGCTCGGCGGCGCCCACAAGGCGGTGGTGCGAGGGGCGGGTGCGCGACCAAGAGGGTGGCGGCGCTTCTGAAGAACAGGGCGGGCTCCTTAGGATCCCTCCCGGCCTCGGAGGAGGGGCCTTCTCGTCAAGTCTCCAGGCCCTTCTGAGGCGGCAAGTGCTTGCTCATAAGCTCCCCCGCCTGCTTGAGAGGCCACCGCCCTCGCGCCAACCCCTCTGGGCGCCGCCGAAACGCCAGGGAGCGTCACGGCCGCGGAGATCGCCACCGCCACACCGCCACCTCGAGGAGGGCGACCCCTCGAGGACCCCACCCGAAGGACCCCCAAAGCGCTCAGACGTCCACCCAGAACCGCCCCCACTCCTCTCGACCCGCCGAGCCCGGATCCGCGGGAGAGCCTGGTGACAAGTTGGCGGCCCCCAGTCTGGCATGAACCAAGAGAGGCTGAATCCAGACGGAGACCGAGCACTCCAGATGGACTAACTCCACATGGACTCAGCCTCCTAGCATGAGAGGCAAAGTCCAAGCGGAGTGACCCCTGACGGAGACCGAGCACATCGTCTGGGCTTGCTCCGTGTGGACTCAGTTTTCCCTGAGCGAAAGGAGACGGATCCCGAGGAAAACGACTCCTGGATCCCGGGGGGCTCTTCCCCAGGGACAGCTCTTCATCCCGAGGCGTTCGCTGACGGTCCCGGGGCCCGTGGAGGGTCCGGGGACCCCGAAAGCGCAGACAAAACGCTCAGGACACGTTTCCCTTCGGACCCTTTTGTTTGCGTCACGGCCCTCGGTGCCAGGCATCCGACGCCTGGCTCTTGAGTTGTTCAAAATGGGGTCCCCCGAAAACCCGACCTGCTCCCCAAGGCCGCTGCTTCGTCGTGAGTCGTTCTCCAAAAATGAAAACCCGGGCCCAGTAGGGGCCCCAAGAGGCCGAGAGCGACGCAAAACCTCAGACTCTCTTTCTCTCTCTCTCTCTCTCTCTCTTTCTCTCTCTCTCTCTCTCTTTCTCTCTCTCTCTCTCTTTCTCTCTCTCTCTCTCTCCCTCTCTCTCTCTCTCTCTCTGGGGAAGAAATGGTCGCACGCGAGATGGCATCGCGATCTTTACGAGGCGGCGCAAGCGGGCCACCAGCGCGGAACACTACATTGGAGACGAGGGCGCGCACGCGCGACCTTGCGCGGGCAGCCTACGCGCGAATGTCGGTTAAGACGGCCCCGAAGTCTCCCGCCGCTCAGCTGTTGAATACGCTGGATGACTCGGGGGTTGAGCCCCCCCTTGGCACTGCCGGGTCCTCGAGGGCCTCGCACCGACGGGGCAGGTCGTGGCGGGCCAGGTGGGCCTGCGGCGGGAGGGGAGAGGGGGAGGGGGATTTGCCGAGAGAGCGCGGGGCTGGCGCCTGGGGCCGACGCCGAGCGCCGAGGGGGAAGGGGGGGGGAGCGTGTTTTCTGGTCCGCCATCGGCCGCTTCACCTCGTCACAATGGGAAACCTCCGCGAAGGACTGTCGACCGGGGGCGGAAGGCAGAATGAATGAATGGCTCATCCCCAGAGCCGCCAGAAGAGAAAAAGACTGACCGTGGAGGGGCAGCCACCCACGCGACCAGGAAAAGAAAGAGGGCACAACCACCACGCATGCCAGCATCGCCGACGCAAGTCTGGGACACAGCCTGAGACCTGCGCAGCCAGACCAAGCTCGGTGCGCTCGCGCCAGATCTGACCTCCTATCCTTCCCTCCCATCCTTCCCCACTGCGCTGGTTTTCTCTATATCCCCGGACGCGTGTCATAGCCGACCTGGAATCCCACCAGCCCTCTGGGCGTAGGTGGTCTAGAGAGCTTTCTTTTCCAACCCCCTTCTTCCCCATCGGGGAGAGATTCCCCCCCCCCCCCCTAATTACCCCCTCCCCTGGACCTGGAGGGGGGGGTCGTAGGAGAGAGCCAAAGATGACCTCCAAGATGGCCCAAGATAGCTCCAGATGGCTCCTGTGATGCTCCAAGAGGCCCCAAGACGGCTCCCAGTGCCACGGAGCCGCACCAGGAGGCCGCCAAGAGGCCAGAATCCTTCAAATACCTATGTAAAATCAATGAAGTGTGGCTTCTCGCCTTTTTGTTTCCGATGGCCTTCCGAGGCCTCAAGATGGCTCCTAGAGGGCCCATGAGGACCCCAAGAGACGCCCAAGAGAGCCCAAAGACTGCCCCAAGAACGCCCAATCGCTCCAAGAACGCCCCGAAAGGGGCCCAAGAGGCGATGTCTGGGGCTCCCGAGGGGGGGCCGTAATTAGAGCTCCCATCTGTTTTGATCGATCTCCTCCAAGATGACCACAAAAGCGCTCCCAAGAGCGCCTCAAGAGGGTCCCAAGAGGCACCCAGGAGGGTCTGGCTCCAGACATCTGCTTAGTGCGACTGTTTGCAAGAGTGCGGCCTCAGGGGGAGACTCCACCCGCTCGAAACAGGCGCCCAAAAACAGCCAAGATCTACTCCAGGGGGGGGGAAGGGGGGGGTACGAGGGCCCGCGCCGATCGGCTAAACAATGAATAAAAACACGGTCACGAGGATGCAAGGGCAACCTTGGAAAGTAGCTCATCCTTCCCATGCGAGTTGACTGTGTGTGGCGGGTTCCAAACACCCTGAACCCAGAAGTCGGATCATCTATTGGAAGGCAACTGTTTGCTTCCGCCAACTTCCGCTGGCGGAGGCCGCCTCGCTCTACTTCCGCTGGCTCCGCCGCCTTTCCGCCACCGGCCGCCCAGGAAGTCATGACCTCTCCTTCGATCCTCGAAGGCGAAGCCCTTTTCTGGAACGCCTCACGTGCAAGAGAAAGCCCGTCGGCCGGAAGAAGTAGGTAGAAACGTGAAGTAGGGAGGTGTTGGACGGAGGCTTGATCTCCCCCCGCACCCCGAAGAGGGAGGAAGAAGCAAACCACTCGATCCTTAAAATAAAAATGCGCCGAAAGTAAAAAGGAATATGGGAATCCTGAATTACCTACTTGGAACGACCAACGGGTACGTAAGTGTGGCCTGGCCCATCGTCGCTCAACAACCTGCGCACTTCTCGCGGAACGCCTCGCTCGATGGGGCCCCACAGCGTACCAGTACACACTGGATCTTGCTGCGCCCAGCTCGCAGAAAAAGGCAGACCCAAGTGTCGCTGCGCAACTGCCTGACTCCTGCACTGTGGGCCACACCGTTGGCAGCCGAGGAGTCCGCCTTGAGATCATACACGCTTCCTTTCAATCAAGGCTTCGGGCAGTCGAATCCGCGAGGCCTGCGCCATACGAGTGCACATCGCACGCAGCAGCAGCAACGAACTGACGCTGAAACCGATCGCATGAAGTGGCCGAGTGGCCTTAATGAGATGAGGAATCTCAGGTCACGCCAACTCGCTCCATGTCCGTTCGCAAAGGGGCCTGCAGCTCCCCGACCGTGCCCTCCAGCTTCGCCGCGCGCTCCTCCTGCGAGGCCCGGGCGCCGGTGACCGCCAGCTCCAGGAGCTTAGCCTTGTAGACCAGCCACGGCTGGGGAAGCTGCAGCGAGGGGTAACGATAGGGGGGGGGGACTGGCATAGGGGGGGCGGGTGCATCGGCCTGGAATCGGCGATACATCGTCGACAGATCGGCGATGAGCCCCCGATAGCGAAACCGCACCTTCCTGGGTGGGTTGGGGCTAGCGGACCGCTATCGGCGATCAATGTGCGATTGGGGGTTAATGCATCCCCCCCTATGCCGATCCCCTCTCCCTTTCGTTGCCCCCGATGTGATCTTCCTCCCCGTGAGTGCACCCTTCCCAGGCATGATCGCGTCGCAACCAAAATCAAGACGGATTTTTGTTGGGGCAATTTTCGGCCTTTGGGGGCCCACACTGGGCTCCACGGCCGTCAGAAAACAAGTCGGGACGAAAGACCGGCCCTGTGGAAATGGTCGGGGCGTTCGGGGACCGCGCGATGGGAGCTCGAGGCATTGCATGTCTGGGATCGTGCAGGCGACCTCTCGGAGAACGGTGCCGCAACCGATGGGCCCCTCAAGGGGGTACAGTCGGGTCGCTGACATAAGGAACGCTGAATAAGGGACGAAGCCCCTTTATGGCCTTAAAAGCGCATCCGTGCCCAGGCCACGGCTGTAAAAGGCCACGGCCACAGCTCCCCCAACTGTGGCCAGGCTGGCCTTGCCCTCCACCTCCTGCAGACGTCCGTCCAGGCCCGCCGCCCTCGCCTCCGCGGCGTCCGCCCGGTCCTGCACCTGTAGGATTCGGGAGGCAACTTCCGGGAGGTCATCGTAAGAACGGCCACAACCTGTCAAGCCTGATACCCGTCGGTCGGAAGAAGTGGGCAGAAATATGAAGCAGGAAGACGTTGGAAATAGATTGGGCGTCCGCCCACCCCCTGAAGACGACGGAGAAAGGAAAACCACTCGATATTTGAAGCAGGAAGGCGCCTAAAATTGACTGGGATCCGGGAATCCAGAAATACCTGCTTTCAACAAACGATGCGTAAAAAGGCAGTCTATATGGAATAAACCCGGGACTTAGCCGGACTCAGCGGGGTTAGTTAGGACTGACAAGGCGCGACCAGCCGAACTGAAGCGGTTTTCGGCCACGGATATAACAGCACCAATGCTGAATTTCACCTCCCAGAAATTGCAACACATCTGCAGGATGACGACGACAAATTCAACTACCCGCAGACCTGGGCAGCGCGAAACAAGATCGGGATGACCAGTCCCACCAGCCGTTTGGGCGAAGGTGGCATCACGAAGTGTTTCCTCCCTCTTCCAAGCCCCCTCCTTCCCCTGCTCGGGAGAGGGGTTATCACTGCTCCTTATTTATGAACAACCGCTCACCCACCCGACCGGCGACAACCTGGGAACAGTGAGGGCCCCCCCGCCATCCCTGTCAAAAAAAAATGCAATGTGCACGGTGCGGCAAAATCTTGGGTCATGTTCGAGGTTGGGGGCCCAAGCAAATTGTATTGCTGTTTTGAAAGGGGCTGCCGGTGTGTCAACAAATGGCACGCTATGCGCAAGGCCACCATCCCGGCCAACGAAACAGTACAAACTGCACTTCGCGGCTAAATCTGGATCATGCGCTGGCACCCCGCAATCACTTTGCAAAGGTTTTTGATAGGGACGACGGGAGTGCTGGCATATTGTCTGCTGTGCGCAGGCCCTCCTGGCATCATAATGGCCACTCCGCGGCGATTGTACAGTGGTTTATGGGGATGTTGGGGGCCGACATGTTTCCCCATGTGCGCGGGCGCATCCAAAGACGACTGCTGAATATACAAGAGGGTCCCGAAAACCCCCAACAGAGCTCCAGGAGGACCCCACGACCCCTCAAAAGAGCCACAAGAGCACACAGAGATAGCCCCACCAAGAGCGCCCAATAATGGCTCCAAGAGCCCTCGTCAGCGTCGTCATTGTCCTCGTCCTCGTACTCCTTGTACTCGTCCTCCTCAACCTCCTCCTCCTTTTCATCATCGTCCTCACCGTCCTTGCCCTCGTCGTTATCGTACTCGTCCTCCTCATCTTCATCCTCCGCCTCCTCCTTCTCGTACTCTTGTCCTCGTTCATAGTCTCCTCCTCTTCATACTCCTCCTCGGTCTCGTCTTCGCCCTATTCCCCGCCCTCATCCTCGTCCTCCTCCTCATCCTCTTCCTCCTCCTCCTCCTCCTCCTCCTCCTCCTCCTCCTCCTCCTCCTCCCCCTCCTCCCCCTTTCGACATCGTCCTCGTCCTTCTCCCCATCCTCATAAACGCCATCGGTGTTCTCATTATCATTATTCGCCTCCTTGTCTCCACCCTCGTCCTCGTCGTCAACGTCGTCGTCATCCTCCTCCTCCTCGTCATTCTCCTCCTGCTCCTCCTCCTCCTCCTCCTTCTAGATGGGGTCGGAGGGTCGTGCCGCATCGCCGATGCATTCACGATACATCGACGACGCATCGATGATGCATCGGCGACGTCGGCGATGCGTCAGCGACGTCAGCGTGGAGCAAATCGGACTCCACATCGAGCCGCACCGGCGATGCAGCGGCGATGCGGTGCGATCCTCCGTCCCCATCTACCGACCCCATCTGGGAGGCCTAGCAAGCAAGATGGCCAAGCATCCTGAAGGACGCGTTGGCTGGTAGGCGAGAACGCTCGTGGCTCCTGCCTGCATTCGCGTCGGGAAGCTGACAGATGGCAGCACAATCTGGCCGCGCCGGCACCGCCGCGTGCTGGATTAAACGTCCCCGCAGGAGGAGGAGAAGGAGGAGGAGGGAGGAGGAATATGCAGAGTCTGCAGGGAGTGGCCGATCCCCCCCGGTGGGCGCCGACCTCGAGCTGCGTTCGCAGCTCCGAGGGACGGCGCGCGGGCACCGACCCCCCCCCAGGATCCCCCAGGGGATCGGGCCTGGGCCACAAGAACATCCTTCCAGATCGTGAGGCCCTCCGTCGGCCCAAACAAGCAGAACAGCCAAGGATGCCCTCCCCAGGATGCACAAGAACATCCGACAAGCACCACCAAGCACGAGGGCATCCTCCCCGAACCGACCTCGATCATTATACCTCGGTCCGGCTGTAGGCACAGCAAAGCGCGGGAGTCCCGACACAGCGCGGTGGCAACGCGGCGCGGTGGCCTCGAAATGCAGAGCCCAGACCGCCTCACGTCGTGAAAGAATCACGGCGGAAGATTTTGTTCGCTATCTTCGGCCGCCGGGGACCCTTGCCGGGCCTCGGGAGCGTCAAAGAACGACTCAGGATGAAAAACCGGTCCCGGGGAAGGGGAATTTCCTGGCGACGAGGGCTCCCCAAGACGAGCGGCGGCATCGATCTCTCTTTCCTCTGAGGGGCACCGCTCGGCGCAGACTGGCTCAGAGGGGTGGGAACATCGACATGAAATCGGCGATACATCGCCGACGGATCGGCGACAGGCCCCCGACAGCGAATCCACACGATCGGGCGGGGTGGGCAATCAGGCACTTGCCGGCGATGATCGGGAGGTCGGGCGTCGATGCATCTCCCCCTGAGCAGGTCCGCCTCCAATGATCCACTACACGCAAGAGTGACCCCAGTCAAGAGTGACCTTTGGTGCGCGCCTTAACGGGGGACGCACGGTGGCCAAACCTGGGCGCGCAAGCCGCTGCTGCCGCTTCGCGCTCAGCGCTCGGAGGACCTCGTTGGGCCCTCAGAGGAAAAGTCACTTCGGCGAAGGGTCTCACGTGTAGTCGACCTACTGGGTGATGGGGCGTCGATGCATATCCCCTTACCGGCGAAAACTTGGTGATCCGGCGTCGATCGGGGATCTACTCACCCGGGTCAATCCAAACCCGGGGCTATCAGGCCGTGCAGGATCCCGCAGGATGCCGCAGGAACCTGCACGCAGTCCCGGGTCAGTGCGCCCCTGGCTCTCCAGGATCCTGCAGTATCCATCGCTCTGACGACCCCCGTTTGCATTGACCCCCGCTCCCGATTTCTCCTCCCTCATCCCTTCTCTGGTATCCCTCGTCCGTCGTTCCAGTTGGCCCTCGGGGGGGCTTCGTGGCCGCAATTGGCTCCGTCGCGACGTCCTGGCGGAACGCAGCCCAGCACGGGTCCGCGGATCGGACTTATCGTCACCGTCCTCGCCTCCTGTTATATCATGCCGTTAAATTATGTTCCTCCTCCTTCGAAGTGTCGTCCGATTCCCCCTCCTCCTGCTCCTCCTCATCCTCCTCATCCGTTTCCTCCTCTTCTTCTTTAGTATTGTCATTATCCATATTATGATTGGTAGGTTTATTTGTCTTAGTATTATTATGATCATTATTCGTCTTCTTAGTAGTCTCATTCGTAGTAATATTATTATTATCAGTACTATTATCATCATTCGTATTATGAGTAATAATTTTATTCATCTAATTCGTCGGCCCAACGGGCCAGAGGCGTGCTAAGATCTCCGGTAACTGGTTAACAATTCTCTAGTTCGCGCGCGCGGGGCGGCCCCTGGGGGTCCACGGACGAAAAGTACCCCGGCAAGGTCCTGAGAGAGTCCCGGGAGGAGTCCCCCAGAGCGCTCCAGGAGCGCTCCATGAGCGCACCAACAGGGCTCCGAGACGTCCCCGAGAGCCCCAAGAAAGGCCAAGAGGCCCCCAAGAGGCCCCCAAGATGGTACACGAGGGGTCCGACATGCCACAAGATCGCTCCAAGACGCCCAAGATAGCCCCCAGACGCCCCAAGAGGCCTCCAAGAGCACTCCCAAGAGGGCCCCTGGAGGCAAAATTCATTGTTTTTCCTTAGGTTTTTGAAAGATTTTGGAGCTTCCACCTTTTCGGTTCCCGACGCCCCAAGACGGCCCCAGAGGCCCCCAAGATCGCCCCAAGAGGGCCCAAGAGGCCCCCAAGAGGGCCCCAAGATGGCCCAAGAGGGCTCGAAGACGGCCCAAGAAGCCTCCAAGACGGTCCAAGAGGGCCCCAAGAACACCCCCAGAGGGGCCCCAGAGAGGGAACACGAAACAAAATTTCGAGCCCTCGGCCCTAAGAAGCCCCTACGAGGCCCCTAAGAGGCCCCAAAAGGCCCCCACGAGGCCCTCAGGAGGCCCCCAAGAGTCCCCCAAGCGGCCCCAGGAGGCCCCCCAAATGCCCCCCCGAGCGCCCCAGGAGTCCCCCAAGCGGCCCCAGGAACCCCCAAAGCGCCGCATTGACACCAGGCCCTCGGGCAAACGGCAGACATGAGACCGTATGGGCCGGCGGAATGAGCGAAGCGATTAATAATTTTATTCATCTAATTCGTCTCCATATTATTCGTATTAGTCTTATTATGCATATGTTGTCTTCTTATTATTACCCGTCTTCTTCGTCTTCTTATTATCAGTCTTCCTCCTCCTCCTTTTCCTCCTCCTCCTCCTCGTCCTCTTCCTCCCTCCTCCACCTCCTCCTCCTCCTCGTCCTCCTCCTTCTCCTCCTTCTCCACTTCCTCCTCCTCCTGCTCCTCCTCCCTCCTTCCTTCTCCCTCATCCTTCCCCCGTGTGCATTGACCCCCGTCTCTTGAGCCCCGAGTCGATGCATCACCCCCTGAGCCGGTCCCCCGCCAATCCGCACTGCGCCTAATCCGAAGGTTGGTATGTCCTCTTGGCATTGAGCGGACGTACGGGTCCTGAGGGAAACGAGCCAGAGGCCCTCGGAGTCCGCGCGGATTTCTTGGATCTGGGCTAGAACTCCCTCCCAGGCGCGCGGAGCGCCCCAGGGGCCGGCGCCAAGGGCTCCACAGCGCAGATTCAAGAAATCCACGC